GTCGTGTCGTGTCGTGTCGTGTCGTGTCGTGTCGTGTCGGGTTGGGTCGGGACGGGACTGGCGGCGGCGCGGCGTCTGCGTCATTGGGAATCGCGTGTTCGAGAGGCGATGCGCCTGGTCTGCTGCATTCTCTACGTTATGGTCGCTCTGTCTAAATTCGAGCTCTGCGATGCTACCGAGCGCCGCGGAGCTGTACTCGGGGGCTTTGCGATGCAGTCCTGGTTCGAAATTGCTTTGCTAGTCTATTTAGAACGAGGTTCTTATTGTATTCCGTGAATGTAGTTCCTGGTCGAAATATAATTGTGGAGACTATTTGCTTAAAATGTGCTATGATTACTCTAACTCCTCAAGCAGTGGTATCGCTGCCCGTACCTCGAATGTACCTTGGATGTAACTCGTAACCTCCCTTCCAACATCCAAAATCATTTTTGTTTTTTAATTAATATTTAATATTAAACGAAGCTTTAATATTTCATTTGTTCTTTAACGAAATTTGTGCTGTATTCACGATGTATATTTTATTAATTAAATGAAATAACAAGCTTTCAAGATAAATATCCATTATGGGCTAGCTTATTGCTATGGGTGATTCTTGGAAGCGGCCCACCGTCCCTTCAATCCACTGTGGCGTCGTTGGGGTTGAAGCAAGTGCTCTCTTATCTTTATCCTTTTCCTAAATACGTAAAGACTCTTTTGCAAGTTCCAGCAAGGGTTAAACAGAGCAGAAACACAACACGTCAAAAGAAAAAAAATATTTCAATAACTCATCTTTAAATAGTTATCTGCAAAATTAATTTGGTCACATAACTTAAATCTTCCACACACTTGAAATCACAACGAAACGAAGAAAGAAATCCCTTCAGGTTTGTACAAATACATTATTTGTTTATTCGCATACGCCACCAAGTTACTCAACGGACAAGAAGAGGGAGTACTTCGACAATTATTAAAGAAGGTTGGTATATCGAAAATTAATATGGAGTTAACATTGAAATTCATAATAGATATTATGGTAAATCAAACGCTGAAATATTGGGTTGTTTCCAGGCATTAAATAAGATCTTAACATCTGAGTTCACGGATGTAAGATAGCCGTGTATTATTTAATAATTATTGCTAATAAAATTGTGTATGATCAATCATGGAAAATTTTTCACAAATTTAGACCTTTCATAAAAGCCTTTGCAGAAAAAACATTACACTCTGCGTAATGAGGACGTCAAACAAAAGAGCAATTACCAAGTTGTTTATGACTTTAAAATAAAACTTTATAACAGCACATTTAGCTTTTAAGATGGCTAAAATTACTAATTTCTTCGACGAATTATCAACGGAAATCGACTATTTTGTTACATAAAAAATGCAATAAATATAAATGTATAAATACAATTAGAACTTGCACAGTAACTTGATTACTCAAAAGTGAATTTAATGAAATACAACCAGTATCCATAAACTCACCTAAAATCGAAAGGATGTTATATAAATGCAATTAGTACAAGTGTAAATAACACAGAAACATTATTATTAACTGAATAAAATTCAATATATTTATATAAAGTTCACGGATCACTTTTCCATGCAATTTCCTTTAAGTACTATACAAACTATTTGTTCATGTACATTTTAATTCAAATTTATTACAATAAATTACAAATACATTACATAATGATGATTTTTATTTCCTTAGAATTAACGACAGTTAAATTCCTTTAGGCAATATTATTATTATTATTATTATTATTATTATTGTTGTTGTTGTTGTTGTTAATATTATAATTTTATACTTTTAGGCCTCAGAGGCCCATGCCATTCATTGGACTCTAAAAAAGGCTATATACTGGAGGGGGTTAACCGAATTATCTTCGCTTACCTTCCTGGAAGAACATCAGCACCGTAAGGTATCAATGTCGTAAGTTGGGGTTATTGACTCCCCCTCCCCGCTGGCACGTGTTTGGGTTGCGTCGTAAATTTTGGTCCAGTGCTTACCTAAGATTCTCTGCTTGATTTCTGTGTGTGTGTGTGTACGAGGAAGTATTATCTGATCCCACAAAGCAAGCTTTTGGATTTCAAAGATAAAAGAACACTCTGTGACGTGCACTCCTAAATAAAATATTCAGCCGAGGAAAGAAATTGGAGGTTCGGTACCAATAACCCGTACCGTTGGTGAAACTCACAATGAATTTAAACTTCGATCTTTAACTAAGAGTAGGAGGTATAAATAATGTTAATATATTTTAAAAATCAATATGCCTAAAAAGACATTGACGTCAAATAGGAAAAAATTGGGAAAAATCATCAGAATGCACATTTTTTTATAAATCATACACTAAATGCTTTTAGTTAATTTGAATAAAACAAGTATTCCCTAAACATCCCTTGTCTTCCCATGAATGAGTTCCCCAAACTAACCTTGAAAGTCATACTTCTCTTATTCGCAGAGGCTTTGATTTGTTCACCTAGAAACCTAGTGTCAGTCTGTTATGTAATAACCACTCCAGAAGCAAGGTACCGCGAAGAGAATAAACCGACAATGTCTGTGTTTGATGGAGTGGAAAGTATGTTTTTCTTACAAGGATTTCAACCTTGGAGGTCCAACTTTTATTGCTATTTGTAAATGAAATATCATAAACGACTGTTCCAAGCTTTTAGTTTCTAAGTAACTTTTCGCCTGATATTTTGTTTATCCAATGTTCCAGAACTCAGTTTACTAAAGTTTGTTATTCAATGAATACTTTTTGTGGCAAACTTCTTTGTTCAAATCTAGAGGTCATGAAAAATAACTAACTAAAAAAATAACTAGGAAAGATTAATTTAATGCCATTATTCAAATATGACATGCGTACTATACCCTTTGCTCTTTCTGAAATACGTCTAACAATTTCATGAGTTTATAGATTGATTTCAAAAGATTCCATGATTAGCCGCTGAAGGTCATTTAATATTTTATCATGTTCAGTATTCGGGAAGCAACTTTCTTTACTCAGGTAAATGACAATTATCTTTCATTAGGTAGTGGTAGTAGTGGGAATATATTTGATATTCCTTTTAAGATACCCATTTTTATTAAAAGTACACCTATTACCTTACTTATTTTGTCACTATCTCCTGTTAAGGTACACTGTACAAGTCATGCGGCAAGCATTGAGAACATAATATTGTAGCAGTTTATTTCAATGTTCTGTAGTTTTTCATTATCTTCATGCTCAAGATATACTACGACAATGGCTGTTAACTTGCAGTTAACTGGATTCGACAATGGCAGGTAATTGCAACTCAATACAGCTCAGTGGAACTCCCTCGTGTTAATAAAATTTTGCATATTTTTGACATACTCCAGATATACAACTATCAAAAGCAAGTTTTACCTAGTATGCTTGTACCTGGATTTTGCGTTGACAGAGTCCAGAAGACCTCCTTCCCACAGACGAACGCGTCCCCGGGCTCCCTGCGCTGCCGGAGCAGGGCGCCGCGCGGGGCGTGGGCGTGGGCGTGGGCGGGG